TGAGTTGCTTGGAGGGGAATCTACAGATGGTTATGTTCCCATCCATCAACTGTTTTTATCCTTCCAGATGGTAATTGGGTTATGGGTTTGGAAGGTGTTGATTCAGGAGCTTTGGTGACTTGCAGCAGTAGTATTGCTTCCAAAGAAGGGTTACCAGACATAAAACATTAACTCTGCTTTCTCTCCACAGATGCTGTCAGACCTGCTGAATTTCTCCAACAATTTCTGTTTCAGATCTTCAGCCTCTGCAGTTCCTTGTTTTATTTATATGGCTAGTCCAGTTCTGAGAATCAATAGGCTGTTGATGGAGGGTTCAGCAATGATAATACCATTGAATGTAAAGGGGCAGTGGTTAGATTCTCTCTTTTTGGAGCTAGTCATTGCCTGACCCTTATGTGGCCCGAATGTTACTTGCCTGTTGTCAATCCAAGCCTGCATTTGTTAAGGTCTGCTTCAGCATATGAAGAGTGGTGTAGGGTGCTGAACATTGTTCCATGATGAGCGAACATCCCTAGTTCTGACCTTATGTTGGAGGGAAGGTTTTGATGAAGCTGAAGATAGTTGGAGCTAGGATATTACCCTGAAAAACACCTGCACAGAACCACAAGCATCTGCCTTTGTGCTCTCCAACCAGTGAAGAGTTGACCGTGATTCCCACTGATGCTAGAATAGTTAGGTCTCCTTGATGCCACACATGGTGCAGCCTTAATGTTGAAGGCAATTACTGTCATCTCAGGTGCTACTTGTTAGCACTGTTGATAACCTTGTCAGCACTTTATTAATGATCCAGTGTAGACCGATGGAGCAGTAATATTTTGACCAATCCACATCAATTTCATGAGACCTGACCAAACTATATGGTCAGGTGATGCACGTTTTCATTTTTAGTCAGTGTTTTTGGTTCCTTTTTAAAAACATTTCAGTCCAAAAATCCTAGATACTAACACAGATGATGGAACCACTCAATCCTCATGACAAGTGTCACAAAAACATTCTACAGACTCGTGTACCAATGTGATTTATCCAGCCTACATGAAGTTTAAAGTTCCCTGCATTTATTACATAGTCTTCGTGATATACTAAATAATTTCTTATCTAATTCCCTGCCCACTGATAAAACTACACTTTTAATCTATAAACTACTCCCACTTATTTATTCTGAAAGTTGCCATTCCTAAACTACCCTCATATCGATTCAATGTCATGATCCTCTGAGCCAAAATCCTTCTTCACGAACGTCCTCATGTCACCCTATACTAGCATAATTACTCCTCCTTTGCTTTGCCTTTTCAAAATATTGTACACACTGAAATATTTATTTTCCAAACTTCATCACGATGTAACCGTGTCTCCGTATCAGTGACTACGCCACTACAGAAACTGTAGATATAAACGTTTAGCTGTAGTATAAAATAGTGAAAAAATATTATGAAGCAGTAACAAATATTGTTTTACTTGTCTGAAAATTGCAGCTTTTGTGTTTCTGCTCCCAAAATGCTGTACTAACATGATGCAGTGAGTTGCTTGGTCCAGTCCAGGAGATTTCCATTCAGTTCACATTTTCAAAAGATAGATTTTGTGACTGAAGAGGGTACAGTGCAATTCTTTGCCTTGTGCAACCAGAATATTAGAAATTGGATTCTACAGCTCGCAATGCAATGAGGAAGATAACACCACTTTTCATGAAACTCATCATATCTATCATAACAACAGATTATAACCCTGGATTACTTATAGAGATATTGAACTTTTAATTAGAAGTGCTTATTTAAAAGTGACATGTGGCAAAAGATGATCTTGGATGAAAATTCACTCGCAGTCTGGAGAGGAAGCCTGGATTGTTGCTTCTGATGATGCCAAGGAAGTTCAAACAGTGACCCTTCAAAATGGAGAAAGACAAGCCAAAGCAAACTGGTCTGTGATCTCCTGAGGTTGCAAAGATAAAGGGGCTGACCTACCCCCTCTCAATTGGAATCCATCTCCTGAGTCTTATGCCTCAAATTGCAGACTTGTTTGTGGTTCTCCATTTACAAAAGAGTTAAAAAGGATGTGCATACATGGTCTGTGCTAGTGTGGACTAGTGTACTGTGAAAGTTATAGTTTGAGGACAGCCATTTCCCCAGATAAAAGGAAGTTTCTTCCTTCGTCTGAATGGTGGAAGCCAAGCAAACCAGTGAAAGCACCATGAAGGAAGCAGAGCCTGTCAGCTAACCATATAGCTAAGAATCTTGAAATCAACTGCTTTGCTACCAACATCAGTTTACTTGTAGCAACCTAACAGCTGCTACATTCCATTAAACACACTTTTTGGAACACAGGGACTATTTATATATTATTTTAGTCATTACCTATTCACTTAATTCACATTTCTGATCTCTGTGTGTATGTCACATTTAACTATCTTTTCTCACATATGGTACCTAATAAACTCTTTATCTCAGAAAATCCTGGTTAATTTGGCTCCTTTTAAAACATAAACCCTTTGACTTGGGAAAAGGTATTTACAAGGAAGAGATTTTTGTTTTGATTAACCATATTGTGACAAGAGAGGGGTTGAATTATGAAGGGGAGCCAGCTCTTCCCTCCTCACCCAGGAGTATAAAAACCATTTTCAGATATCCATCTAGAATCATAACAAATTATAGACCCTCGCCTGGGCACTGGTCGTAACACATCCACCTTCATCTCGCCTGCATGATCCAATGAGATATATGCTGGGCAATTTGCCATAGTTTATGCATTGAAGAAAGGCCGGTAATAACAAAATGCTGACAACTGGATTAATTAATCCTTGTCAGACAAGGGTGAATTATAGCAAACAAAGTCTTGGGAAAGTGACCTAACAGCATCACAATCCCAAATTTACCTTGATTGTCTGAATACAAGCAGCATTAAGAAAGCCCACATACAGAGCTTTTCTCACAAATTGGCGATGAACAAATGTAACATAGCATTATAATGGCACCAAGGGACAGGTCAATATGAAGTGAGGACTGTGTTGCCATTTTCTGTACATCTTTTTCAAACAACATTTAATTTGAAGAATATACTGAAATCCAGGGAAAGAAAAATGTCTTCATGGTTACTAATTTACAAAAATTCATTAGTTTTATCTTGATTTTAAAAATCAGTTGTGGGAGGTTTGGCTATGGTTGAAAAAGTGAGGAAGTGCATAAACTGCTTGGAAAAGGATTAAAATAGTACTATAAACAGAATTCACTTGTATAGGGAGGTTGCAAGGGCATCCTACAGGATCAAGCAGGATGCTTTAATCTTTCACTATGTATTTGTCCGGAAATAGCAAATAATGCAACCTGTAAATTATATGGCTATCAAATAAATTACATAATTTCAACAGATGGAAACCTCTACACATAAAATCCTAAGAGTATGATTGTTTCTTTAATTTCTAAAATGCAAAAAATCTCTTAAAAATTGAAAGAACTGTAGATGCTGTAAATCAGAGACAAAAATAGAAACTGCTGGAAAATCTCAGCAGGTCTGGCAGCATCTGTGCAGGGAAATCAGAGTTAACATTTTGGATCCAGTACCCTTCCTCAGAGGAAGAGTCACTCAACGCGAAATATTAACTCTGATTTCTCTCCACAGATGCTGCTAGACCTGCTGAGCTTTTCCAGCAATTTAAACTTTTGTTGCAAAAATCTTTTATTTTACTGCAAGTCTATTTCCTTGCATACAGGCTTACTCAGGCCCACTCCATCACCTCTTTTCTTGGTACAATAATGACTCAGTATATGCTGTTTCTTGCTCTCGCCCTAAACTGAAAATTTTCAATTTACTGTGCTTCCAATATCCACCTTTCACCCTCAGTTAGTTAAGCTCTGGCTCTTCCTTTCCTATCCTTGAGTTCTCTGCCTTCATTTATGGGGATAGACTCTCAACAATATTCACTAAGAGCTCAAGGACTCTCAAATCTAATTTAACTACAATTCCTTACATAAAATCCTGTAAGGAATCTTTTATATTCTTGCATTTTCTCCATCCCTGTCATATTGGATTGGATGATGTAAACTCTCTACTAGCACTTATGATGTATCTACTAACTTCCTTAATTCAGAATATCCTTCTTCCTCATGGTTGACAGAGTGTTCAACCTTGTCTGTTCTATTAAACACATCCAGATCTGTGATGGGCATCTCCTTCAGCCCCACCAGCTTCTATACTGAATGGATCTTCTTCAATTATTTTCGTTGACTTCAATATGATGCCACCACCTTCTCCTCTACTCTTCTTCCAGCATTTGGGAGGGAGCATTGTAAAGACGGTATCTTTTTAAATTTTTTTTTATCTTTGATCATGGACTGAAATGAGAAAAGAGCTGTTTTAAACCAGGGATTTTGGAAGAAATTGTTACACTTTATAAGAGCAAGTTACTGCAAGTCATTGTAAGTCATGTTTACACTGATGCTTTGGCCAAACACTGGGGAAGACAGGCACAAGACGAGTGTACAAAGTGAGATTCGGCCAGCAACAAATAGCTGATTAGTTTGTGGAGTTGCCACCGGTGTTACGTCTCACTGGAGTAATCCGCTGGAAATCAAATCCCGCTATTTCCGCAATCACCACTAACATTAGAGGTTTTATAAAAGTATGTAAAATTCTCCAATTTGCCTGACTTTTAGACATAGCCTGACAGAAAACACACACTGCTTTCATTTACTTAACAATGATTATCTTTTAATTATAGATAGATTTTAGCTACAATTTATGAATAATTATGAATCATCCACATACAACTCAAAAAAATAAAACTCGAGCCCTCTTGTATATGTGGCACATCTCCAAGGTACTGGCTGATAGAACCAGTATAACCAAGACCTGAATAACCTTCTTCCGCCTCTACAGTTCTGGCTCTTTTTTTCAAAGTCGCTTGGACTTCTGGTTCCTGTAATCCAACGGCGTCGCCGCGCTGCCGCGGTGCATCCCGGGTGTTGTAGTCTCTTGTTGCGCATCCACTTCCTGCTAACGGTCTGCTGGCCTCCCGCAGGAAGACACTACATCTCCCAGCAGGCAGCGAGGGTCCGCGCGCATGCATGCTCCTCCCCTCTTCATCCCCCTCCCTTCCCCAGAAGCTTGCGGTGAGGAGGTTTTTTTCCACAGGCGAAGCTGAGGGTCGGCTCGGAACTTTGAGTGGGGTAGAAAGATGTCTCGCCAGGCGAACCGAGGTACCGAGAGCAAGAAAATGGTAATTTGTGGCTTAGAATTTTATGCGTTTATTATGGCCGAAAGAAAAACCCAAACCGAATCAAGTGCCGAATCTGTCAGCTGTGGGCCTGCTCTGCTGCTGGTGACTAACTCAATGGCCACTACAGGCCCCTCACACTTAACAGACTCTCACTGTATGTAGAGACAAACTCGACGTGTTTAAGCGTTCAACTTGCTTGACGTACTCCTAAAAAATGTTCACCTTGCAGTGAGTTTGGAGTCCCTCACGTAAAATAAAGAGCTGTGGATGCTGGAGATCTGAAACAAAAACACAGAAATTTGCTGGCGAAATTCAGCAGGTCTGGCAGTATCAGTGGGGAAGAAGCAGAGTTAACATTCCCATTCCGGTGACTCTTCATCGGACTCTTTTTCTCTCCGCAGATGCTGCCAGACTTGTTGCGTTTCGTCAGCAATTCCTGTGTTTGTTTTGGAGTCTCGTCACATCCTGATCATTGCCATTACCCCCACCCTCAACATTGACAGATTTGAGCACTTCTGATTTCATCGCTTAACTTCTTTGAAACTCTAGCATCGTACTGTTTGAACTTATTAAATATATGATATGGTGCTCGTGCAGTATTGCATGGGTGAAATTTTACTACGAGTGCAACAACTTGTGTTTATATACAAGCTTAAAATACACTATGTTGACAACGTGAATATGGTCCTCTTCTCGTTAATTTGCTGTGCTCTAAGAATCGGAATTCTAGATGAATATACTGAATGAGCAATTTAGGTATCCAGGCTAATGTTGGGATGTGATTAAATCCAAACAAAGCAGTTGGTGGAATTTAAATTCAGTTAATGAAATCTAGAATTAAAATCTAATCTCAGTGATGGTGGTCATGAAATTAGAATGCACTATGGTAAAACCATGGGTTGAGCAATGTCCTTTAGAGAAGGAGAGAACTGCCTTTTTTACTTGGTCTGGTCTATATAGGACTTTAATTGTTCAAAAATGTTTAATTCTTAATTGTCCTCTGCAATGGCCTACCAAACCATACAGTTCAAGGGCAATTGGGAATGGATATACAATTGATGCTGTAGCCAGTGATGCCCATATTCCCTTAATGAATAAGCATCAATGTTGACACCAGGGATATGGCTTTGGAAAAATAGTTTAGGGCACTTGTTTGGCTGTCTTTTAACAAACTGATGTGGCTTGTGAGCATATTTTTGTTGTTAGACCTATTGCCTAATATTTTGTCATATAACAAGCTATGATTTATTTTGCTAGCCAGAAAAGGCTCATTAGCTTATCAAAATTTCTAAGCCTAAGATAATAATCAAGTTTGCTTTCAAATTTTCCTTTGAAATTAAAACATTCAAACAGTGCATTTTTATTTGCATTTAAATCCCAATATATTATAACTAGAGAAAATATAGAAACTAGCTGTTTTAATTTATTGAGCTTTAATATGACCCAATTAATGTTTCTGATTTTTTTCTGTTGCTACGTGGCTAGACAGAGTAGTGGTAGAAGGGTGCTTTTTGGAATAGAGATCAGTAACTAGTGATGTTCCACAGGGATCAGTGCTGAGAGCTTTGTTTTTAATATATATAAATGATCTGAAGGAAAATGTAGGTGGTCTGATTAAATTTGCGGATGACACCAAAATTGGCAGAGTTGCAGATAGTGAGGAGGATTATAAATGGATACAGAATGATATAGATAGATTGCAGATTTGGGCAGAGAAATGGCAGATAGAGTTTAATCTGGACAAATGTGAGGTAATGCATTTTGGAAGATCAAATTCAGGTGCGAATTACACCATAAATGATAGAACCCTTAGGAGCATTGACATATTCAGGGATCTGGGCGTACAGGTCTACAGATCCCAGGAAGTGGCAATGCAGGTGGATAAGGTGGTCAAGAAGGCATAATGCATACTTGCCTTCATTGGCTGGGGTTTTGAATATAAAAGTTTGCAAGTTATGTTACAGCTGTATAAAACTTTAGTTAGGCCACATTTGGAATATTATGTGCAGTTCTGTTTGCCACACTGCTAGAAGGACATGGATGCTTTGGAGAGGGTTCAGAGAAGGTTTACCAGGATGTTGCCTGGTCTGGAGGGTTTTAGGTATGAGGAGAGGTGGATAACTTCAGATTGTTTTCACTAGAAAGATGGAGGCTTGGTTGTGTTGGTGGCAGGGTTGGTGCAACCTGATGGAGTTCTGTAAAATTACAAGGGCCATAGATAGGGTGGATAGTCAGTGGCTTTTCCCCAGGGTGGACAGGTCAGCTGCAAGAGGGTACAGGTTCAAGGAGAGAAGGGAAAATCTTTCACACAGAGGATGATGGTTGCCTGGAAGGCAGTGGACGTGGTGGAAGCAGACAAGTTAACAATGTTTAAGGCATATCTCGATAGACACATGTACGGGAGGCAAGTAGATGGATAGAAATCATGTATGGGCAATAGGTGGTGGGTCTAAATAAGGACTAGGAATTAGCACAGGCTCCATGGGCCAAAGGGCCTGGTCCTGAGCTGTACATTTTTTTTGTTCTTTACATGCTTAGCCACCATTTGCATTTCCTTTTTGTGTTCCATAAATTCAGTTCATTTTAAGTTGTTTTTTTTTTTTTTTTTTGTTTGTTTGTAAAGAATGAGGTGCATTTTAAGCTTGTCACATCTAATGTGTCTTAAGCTTGGATTATGTTTGCAAATGTGAAACCTATGAGCACTGACTCCACTGCAATGTTTGCGGTTTGGCGCAAGATGGAAAAAGACACAGCATTGGAAACCGAAGCATCATTTGTCCATCGATTTGTAAGGGCTTGATTTGGATTCTTAAAATGTAAGAGGGAAAAAACAGTTTTTAGTTTGAATTTTGAAATATTCTAAATTCAACCAAAAATACTTAAGATTTTCCTTCAATGTATTTTAAAGGGTAATTTTGAGATGTTTTCAGTCATATTCGGAATGTAATGTACAGAGGAAGTATCGAGTGACCTGTCACTGCTATAATTACAAATTCACTTTTTCATATTTGGATAATAATGAAAACATTCCAAATCTGCTGTTTCTATCATTGAATTATAAATGTAAGTAACATGAGAAGAAATGAATCTACTTTGTATGAAGAGCCTGATAGCTTTATTTAAATAAAGAATCATCTTTGCACTCAAAACTAGTGGACTTTTTTGTTTGTCAAAACAAAGAATATTATCCAGTTTGCTCCAGAAATTAACTGGAGATTGGATTGAATTCAGTAGTAATGCAATTGGACTGTAACTCATAATACATTGTGTGATTAGATTAGTGTTGCTTTAGGTTTTATCATGACTTTTCTAAAATAAACTTAATCATGAACATTATAGTCTGCATGCTTTGTATATTAAGCCCTAAATTGGTAATGCATTTTTTTAAAATAAATGTGTGAAGACAACTGGATTTGTTGGAACTATTGAGTAACTTTGACATTATGGAGCAGTTCTCTTATGGTCAGTACCCATAATTGGTTGCACAATGCTGAACTTTTGTGCAGGCAGAAAGCTGATGACATAAATGGATGCTTGGTTAAAATCTTACTTTATGCCAATTTAGGAGGATTACCAGTGCTCAGACCTCTTCAGGTTCACATAATCAGTTTGTCAATCTGGCTGGCTACTAAATTAATACTTCTAACTGATTACATAGCAGAAACAAAAGAATTTTTATAAACAACCATCAGGTTGTCACATGTCATGTGATTGTGATCAGAAAGATACAGACACTTGGACTGCTATCACAATTTTTTTGACAATTTTCTTCCCATATGTGTCAATTCATATCCCAAATCTACCTATGCCTGTGTGGGCAAGAAACAGCATCATACATGGTTAAGTCAGACCCAGCAGAAGTAACTCCCCTTCTGAATTTTGATCTTTTGAGAGTCTTCATATTCCTACAAACACTGAATTGCTTATCTATGGTAAAAACCAAAAGAACTGCGGATGCTGTAAATCAGGAACAAAAAAAAAGTTGCTGGAAAAGCTCAGCAGGTCTGGCAGCATCTGTGAAGGGAAAAACTGAGTTAACGTTTCGGGTCCGGTGATCCTTTCTCAGACTCTTCCCAGTTCTGAGGAAGGGTCACCGGACCTGAAACGTTAACTCTGTTTTTTCCCTTCTCAGATGCTGCCAGACCTGCTGAGCTTTTCCAGCAACTTTGTGCTTATTTATGATATCTTGTTTGGATATATTGCACTACAAATCAATTTGAGGGCTATTTGATAACTTAGGTAATGGCCTCCTTATTTCTCACATAATTCCACTGGATGCACTCCTTTCCAGAATGCTTTCAAGTTTATCTCAGATTTTCAGCATTGGTTTCATATTTGCACAGGATACTCTTTGGCACAAATTAATCAAAGCATAAGTTTCAAGTCCTGTTTATGTTACTACCATTTAGTGTATTTATCTGAATTTTGTGGCCCTGTGCATACAGCAACTAAATTACTCTTACTAAAATCCATAAATGCCTGTCAGTTTTGTTTGGTTCAGGATATGGAGATTGCGGCAACCAAGTCCTGGCACAGGTTCAAGTATGTTGGCATGATGTTTTTTTAAGAACCTCGAAGTTCAGATTATTTTCTACCAGCTTTGTAAATTTAAGCATGATTTTTAAAAATAATAAAAATAAATCAAGAACAGGTTTTACTGAAATTTTCTTCCAGATAAAATTGGGTATCTCGAAATATCTTTTTAATTGTACATTCAAAAACAAATTTCCATTGTATTGGAGTTAAGCTTAATGAATTGCCTAGTCTGCTCTTATGTGCAGGACTACAAGATCTTGGGTTGAGTTCTTTTATGTTTAATCTAAGTAATATGTTCTTTTGATGTGTACTTCATTATGTACAATTTGTGTGATCTCACTAAATCTCAATTCTGTCTTTTTCCTGTCTCCTCTGCCTAACGCACTCATTCTGTAGTACTGGTATTTGCCATTCATTTCACCTTCTGCATCTCTGCATCTCATG